CAATCAGATTCTACCTCTCGTATCACTTGCATTTGCTTCAAACAACATGGCGGCGCCCACTCAAGACGATCAGATCAATAATAATGATCTATATTGTGATAAAACGGGTCTTACATCGTGAAGTGCATTAAATCACGTGAGCATATTTATTAAAAACATGAAAAGATTTAGCAAATATCTGTTGACGCGTTGGCGGTGCACGTGCTTTGAAAATCCTGCAATTGAACGAAATCTCCATGACAGTTTACAAACCGGATTTAGATTTTGTTGTGCGATTTTAGTTCAGACTTATTAGTCCAACCAAAATGTAACTCCATTGGCTTTTATAGTCAGTTAACTCTCTTGCCTCGGGAAGATGTAAAACAATTTGCTCAATTGATTCTGGTAACTGATTTGAGAGCTCCTTAAGACACAGGGGTAACAGTTCTTTCTGGTAATGATAATGCTAAGCGGAAACTATTAGTCTTTTGTAATGATTCTGTGAAAAATATGTCATTTACTTTTTCAGTGTAAAAAACAGTAGTCTGTACACAAGAGCAATTGCTGTAACCTGTCTATGGAAATATGTTCTGCTTGGCTGAATGTTTCTTCTTTGATTTCTCTCCCCTGGCATTTATGCATTTATGACCCTCCATATTCCTTTGACTTTGTGAAAATGCCCTTTCTGTATCAAGAGATCTCCCTCTCAGTGTTATCTTTTGTGCCAGGAGTGTCAAATGATGTTCCCTTCCTTCATATTTATTACCACTAGCAGCCATTCTCAAACTTTGTCAGCAGAAACATGATCTTGTATCTAAGATGGCATAATTGAAATAGGTCGTTCATTTTATACTTCACTCATGGTGATCTGGGTGATAAGAACACTAGTGCCTCAAGTCTGGTGCACAGGTGGCACAGTCAGCCAAGATGCTGCAAGTCGATGTGCAGAGGTGCGTTCCTTAGCCATATCAGTATCTGATGATTGTAAATCCATGGTTTGATGATCGTGAATCCTTGGTTTGATGATCGTGAATCCTTGGTTTGATGATCGTGAATCCTTGGTTTGATGATCGTGAATACTTGGTTTGATGATCGTGAATCCATGGTTTGATGATTGTGAATCCTTGGTTTGATGATCGTGAATCCTTGGTTTGATGATCGTGAATCCTTGATTTGATGATCGTGAATCCTTGGTTTGATGATCGTGAATCCTTGGTTTGATGATCATGAATCCATGGTTTGATGATTGTGAACCCATGGTTTGATGATTGCGAAACCTTGGTTTGATGATTGTGAATCCTTGGTTTGATGATTGTGAATCCTTGGTTTGATGATCGTGAATCCATGGTTTGATGATTGTGAATCCTTGGTTTGATGATCGTGAATACTTGGTTTGATGATTGTGAATCCTTGGTTTGATGATCGTGAATCCTTGGTTTGATGATTGTGAATCCTTGGTTTGATCGTGAATCCTTGGTTTGTCTGCTATTTTTAGTAGTGAACTTTAAACCCTAATTACAAAACATTTCATGATATTTGTCTGACAAAAATTATGGGTGTCATAAGATTATAAACGAGTAGTAAGTAAATACTTTTAACAAGTGTGCCGTCTTGTATCGATACAGAAAAAAGGATATCGTGTATCGTATCATCGCATGAAAATTCTCGATGCACCGGTGTATCATTTCAACCCAAGTATTAACTATACCAGCAGAGAGTAAAAGCTGTCTTAATCCAGAGGAAGCCTTCCTCTCATATTAAATGTCTGGCTTATATCTTATGCCTCAATCTACAGAGTAATTTCTATGAACAGGATCTCTGCTGCTTTGAAGCAGATCACCTGTTTAGAGTCAAAAGGGCTGTTTCCTGGACTTTAATTACTTCAGGTAACCTGATAGGCGTTAGACTGAGTGTAGGCCACTGTGGTGCTTGACCTATCTCCATGTGTACATTGGGCCAGGACCTCCGACTGGGCTAGCAAGTGCTTTCATCATAATCAACTCATCTGTAACTTAACTCTCATTAAATGCACGTACTTAAAACTGGCATTAAAAGAATTTGGAGACAAAATGAGTTTAAAATGTGCTGTTCAACCAGTAGAGATGTGGGGATTTACCGGTATGTAGGATTTTAAACTGAGTGCCCCTGCAGACAAATTAGGAATTATTTTTGTTATTTTGTTCAAAATTGGGATTTTGTTTAAATTTTTATTTGTTGCTATTTAGAGGTATTTTAACATTGTATTTTGAATTGCATTCATTGTAATGATAATATAGAACTAAGCTTTAAAATCTCTTTCTCTTTATTGGTCCTGTTACCAGTGAAATACGGGTTACCACTACAAAGACCTGAACTTTGTTTTATATATTTATAATGAATTAGGAATTTTTACTGACATTTGATGCAGACTTTGGGCCAGATATAGGACCCAGAGCAGGTCTAGTTAAATCCTTAAAAATGAACACAAATTATGGTCTAGTTGCTATGTTTGACTCTTTTTTGCATCTGATCTCAATATTATTGTTAAATCATGCTATTATTTTTCTTTATCCTGCATTTCAGTGCAATTTATTGCTATTTTTGTTGATAAAAATAATAATTGTGTACTGCATGACCCTTGAATTTTGAAACCATGTAATTGAAACCATGTTATATTTTCTCTCTCCTGAGAGAACTTTTAGTGCAGAAGGGAGAAAAAGTTATCTGTGAATAGAGATTAGATATTTCAGTGAGGATACCCGGAAGTATTCCATTATTTGTTAATCCTACCAGTGTAAGGATAAAGTGATCTGAGATGTGACTAGTTTAAGTATTTATGATAGTTGTGGCGATAGATCTCTTTGTGGAGCAGGGGCCATGTTGCTGATTGAGAAGATATCTCAGGCTGGTGACCTCCGGGGAAGATGGGACCTAGCTACCTGACTGGCCAGCTGCCATCTTGTAACCTAACTGTCTGTTAACAAGATATGACATCGTAATGTCAGTACAAACTTGCTATGTCCATTGGATAAATTAGTGTCCACCATAGACTAACATCTTGTCTCTGAAATGAACGCATCGTACAGAAAAAAAATAGATGTTAAATTATCTTAATGAAAATTTAATAAAAAGGAGCCCAGAGACTCTCTTCATCCTGATACTGCAGAAATCTAGACTTGCCAAACATTATTGACTTGCATGGGCTGTATTTGATATATTTTTTTCAGAGTCTGTAAAACAAACTGTCCACCAATATTCAGTGAAAAAAAATCTGCATTACTTGTACCTTTGGTTTGGGATCATTATTCAAAATTCTGTACACATTGCTCTAGACAAGTGTAACTCATATTATCATGACTCATTGAAGGCGACCATGCTTGTCATTAGAGGCGACAGAATCGGTTGGTAAGGCTCGTTGACTTGGTTGATGCATGTCATTGTATCCCAATTGCATGGATCGATGCTCATGAAATCAATTATTTAATTGTCTGGTCCAGACTTGATTAATTACAGACCGCCATCATATACCTGGAATATTGCTGAGTGCAGCATTAAACAACAGCAAATAAACAAACAAACAAAACGTAAAGAATCCATCCATTATGTCATAATGTTTGATGTGACATCACTTGCTTGTGACATCACAATTGACACGTTTAATCTCAAGATTTGTCTGGCTTATTTAGTTTGTCATTGTACATGATTGGATAGACCTTAAGAGATTGACCAATCACTGACCTGCCTCACACTAGACCAGTGGGCCTGTGAAGATCCAGGTTAGAGTTGATGCTCATGATATCAGTCACTGTATTTTCTGGGCCAGACTTGATTATTTACCATCAATATAGCTGTAATATAGCTGGCTTATTGCTGAGTCTGTTGTTAAACAAATCAAACCTGGTGCAATGAAAGAAGTGACGGGCAATATTACTGCACTGCATAGAATCCCATGCTTTCTCACCCAGCCTCTTTAAACAGATGAAAACTATCCAGAAGTCAACTCCTTGCTCCTTTTCTGTTCCCTTCAATAAACTTGAACCTGTTGCCGTTTTCTCTTCCTCATTAGCCCCGTGTTCACGGCAGCTAGAATTAAACTTAAAGCAATACATATTGCCTTCCTCTGCAGTTGTGAAAACATATCACATGTTCGGGGAGGGAAAAAACAATTTGATTGAAAGTGTTGCTATTTTGTGTGATGATGATGCAGAGGGTGACGGCTGGAGAAGATGGTTCTCATTACCGCCATTAAGACTCTGCTTTGCATAGCCTCTTCTGTGACAGACTAATTGACCACAGATCAGATGTCTCCTTGAGTAGGAATAGATCTAGATGGGGCTTAGATAGCATGAACAGTTTAATTAAATTGATCTTTTTATGTCGTATGGCACAGCTGTCAGACAGATGAGTACTGCTCATGCACACAATGTTAATTTTCCGGGCTGAGTCTAAACTTGGATCTGGGGAAGAAATGCACACATCATTGCTGGAGTGACCAGGGAACTGCATTAATAAAGATATTGTCAGTTGTAAGATAAGTATTGGGATCTTTGAATCTTCTAGACAATTATATATGTTCATTTTCTTCAATCCTTTTAGGGGACCCTTCACAGGTGGCCCTGTCATTTAAGGCATGCAGTTCGGTGTACGGAGTTGTGGCCCTTTGTCATGCCAAATCATGGGTTTGAATCCCAGATTCTCCCTGAATATATTACTTGGTTTGTCAGCACCATACCCGTGCTCATGGGTTTTACTAAAGTGGTAAACGTTTAAGTCCAGCATTTACTTTAGGCTTTCCTCCAACATTAAGCACACAGACACAGTTCACACCAAACTCTCCATCTTTTTGTTCTGATTTTTTGTTACCTTGAGGTTTAAATTCAACAAGGAAGAAAAACAAACTATTAAAATGAATGCCATAAGATAAGATCGATAATATTTATTGCAGAAACGTTCCATTACGGGACAGATGCAATTTTAAAAGACAAAACATTATGATTCATATATACATATATACAGACATACATAATTTACATTCCTGTAAATACAAAAACAAACAATCAATATTACATATTTGATGATATTATTATACATAAAATGTCAACGGTTGATTATGAAGGGGTATTTATTGTTTGAAATGATAGACATGGAAACAAATGCATATGAATGCATATGCCATATGAATACCATATATCATCAAAATGGTCCACCCACAAATGTGAGGAGAAGGAAGGGGCCTGAAATCCTGCTACTTCCTAGGTATGATTATTGTTAAGCTTGGGGAAACAAGTGCTGTCTCCAATTGATCAGTGCAGAATTCCACTTGTGACAGAGTCTGAGCACATGATTCCTGTCTGAGTCTGGTAGCCCTGGCTTGCTCAGCTAGTCTAGCCCTGGTGACTGCCCTCATGATGGGGAGCTTGACATGCATCTCACACTCCTGTAAATCCAAATCGACAGGTTTTGTCAGCTGTTGAACAGCTGATCAGCATCCATTGAATCTCTCCGATTTGTTCATCAGCCTTTAATAAAGTAATTTCCACAGCAGGAACTGAGGGAGACTTGATCTGGAAATGTCAGGGTTGGATCGAACGTGTTTCTTCATGCTTAATAGCTGCACAAGATTTTGATGAACCTGCTTGTCAGAAATGTAAGAGAATTAAGTTCTTAAAAGGTATTTGTTTCATGAAATCCATATTTAATCAGCATTATGATGAACACCGAGAAAGTTCAAATATCTAAGTTTAAAAAAATCTTCGGAGGACAATAGAAGTTGCGTGCTGTTTTTACTAGCAGTGTTAGCATTGAGCATCACTGTTTAATATCCTTGAATAGTGAAAGGTATGGTGGTGACAAACCATGGATCCTCAAGAGGGATTCAAACCTATGTTAAGTAATTCCTGGCATGGCTATATGGGATGCAACACCTTAGCCCAGTGAGCAATTAATCCATGCCATGCCAGGATGTATCTGTTAGTCCCATGGGTATATATCTGTTATCCCCATGGATGTATATCAATTGTTCCCATGGGTATATATCAGTTATTGCCATGGGTATATATCAGTCATCCCCATGGGTATATATCAGCTATCCCATGGGTATATATCAGTTATCCCCATAGCTATATATCAGTTATATTGTGGATTCTGGAGTAGATTTGCTCAAGTGTCAAGTAGGAGTTGTAAGAGCTAAAATGGAAAATGTGTGACTGGCTAATTTGACAGCTTGGATCATGTCTCATGCCATCAACTGTAGCTGATTGTCCACACACTTCTATGACAGCTATAGTATAGTCACCGTGGCACAAAACAACATTGACTCACTCTGATCACAAGCCTACATTCCAGCTGCTGTGACAACATTAAGTATAAAACCACACTCATCTCCTACTATCTTCTTGTTGTCTGAAACACTGCAGGCATTAATAATCAGAATTACATCTAATGACCCAGGATCTTCCAAGGACTGTCTGGACAAGTTGCAATGATGTGTATGATTGCAGGAGAAGTCCTTTCTACGTTGGTGGGATGGGGAGTCCTTTGCCTGTAATAACATTGAAAGGATGATGAGATATCTGGATGACATATCAATAAACACTGAGAGACAGGTGGGAGGCAGGATGTTGGAAGCATCCAGATCGACTCACCAGTTATCCTAGAAAGCTAAATATTGATGCAGATCTATTGCTAAAGGTCAGGATCCATGACTGTTGGGTGAAGGAGGAAATAGGCCTGAATCATGGGGTAATTTCAGGACGGTTGATAATAAACTCTTCGCTATGCAGTCAGGGGACAAATGGGTTCTGGTTCAAGAAAGGATTTTTTAAATTTTCTCTTGGCAGTCTAGATTTTCTGCCTTCATTAGCCTTATTAGAAGCTCTTCTTTCTGTTAAGGAATCAGCTTCTTGTGCTTTCTTTCGGGTCAGCTGTAAGATGAGTGAATCAAAGTCAGTTCCTTGATTATTTACTATGATTTGTCAGCCATTTTCTCCTTGTAGATGCCTCCTTTAAAGTATTGAGCAGTAAACCTTGTGGTTCATACAACATTGTATGTCATCCAATTGAAAATACAGCCAATCCTAACTGAACTCGCATGTTATGTGAGAAGCTGAATTTTGTAAGTTAACAATTGTGAACCTCAGTTGTGACACATTTGCCAGAAATGATGCATCTACATGATGGATACATGCAATACACCAACCAGATTGTCTTTGAAAGATGCCCACACTAAGATGAGTGTATTGGTGGCAAAGTGGTGAAGGCATCTGCATGGTGCCCTGAATTGTTTTTAGGATTCCCTACATGTGGACAATACATGAAGCCCATCCTCTGGACCCTGTATGATATTGCTGCAGTTGCCATCAATGTAACACAGGTCTTGAAAATATGTTACTGTTGTATATGCCATCACTCCTTCACTTGCTTACTTGATACTCCTTGGCTGAAGGTGCAACTGGGGAACACGTCATCATGTCTGCAGCCTCATATCATTAAAATCATATTCTTTGGCGTCATTGTTTGATGTTGCTCATAATGGTTAATGATGCAAATCATATTTTGACTGGAAATGTCTATTTAATTTAGTTTTGGACCAAGATATGATCCTTCTTAATGCATTCCTCAGGTCTGATCTAAGCATGTGTTGTTTTGAAATACTAGCCACAAAAAGTATGTGACAAAAGTTTTGAAAGTTGATTCTTAGTGTTTGAACCTTTTTTTTGTCAGTGAGTGTTGACAAAAGCATGTTCCCTGTAAAAATGTGGAACGTTTTTTGTATTTCCTCAATAATTCCATGTGGGCAAATATTTGTGTTTGAATTGAAGACTATTTGTGTCTTGTCCTACTAATGACCTTCAACTGATGAGAGAAAGAGGATATTGAAACAATCTGCACAAAAAATGGGATAACCCTCAACAAACGTGTTTTGGCAGATGCTAGGAACTGATCATGGATGCATGTCACAACACAGGGTTGGTGCCAGCATTCCCCAGGTCAGAAAGAGCAGGAACTTGATCTCGGCATGTTGTGCTAGCTATGTGTTGCTGTAGTACCTGCGGTAGACTAACATCTAGTCTCTGAAATGAACATATCGTACATAAAAAAACAGTTGTTCAGTTATCTTAATAAAAATATAATAAAAAGGAGCCCAGTGACTCTCTTCATTTTCAGATACTGCAGTGATCTAGACTTGCCAAACATTATAGACTTGCATGGGCTGTATTTGATATATATTTGTATCAGGGTCTGTAAGACAGACTATACCTGCGGTACATATACCATGCATTGGCACAAAGCTATAGCTCACAGTTCTACATTCCAATTTTATTCCAGCCATAGAAATTTGATTTTTTACAGACTAGTCCACAGGAGTAGTGTTAGCCTTATTTTGTTTGCAGCTAATCCTGCTTGAACAAGACAAGAACGTTTAATATGTTTACATTTTCTGGCAGTTTTATTTAGTTCCGGTTTGTGGAAAAATTGAACCACTGAGACCTGGTCTATTACAGCCTTCAGATGCTATTAGTGAAGGACTACAGTCATATAATTTTTTCTTGTCCTCAGCACAATTTAGTAGGCTCAGGCTAGAAAACTAGTGTTGAAGGCTGTATGTACTTGTGACTTAAGTACAGCAATATGTGTCAGTATGCTGTAGTGTCTTTTATCTGAAGTCTGATGGATAAATTCATTAATGGGAAAGAAAACTCTAAAATTCACTGCAGGCATAGGGAACCAGCCTGGCTGACCTAGTATCCCCTCATACCCGGATCAGATGGTACCTTGTCATAGGTTTCTTGATCCACCAGATCTGTCAAGAATAAGGCAATCGTAGGACTTCATCTATTGTACCTCCAAAATGCCATGATATAACTGGAATACTGTTATTAGCGGCATTAAATCCCACCAGATCAGACTTGGATGGGGTGGTCGGGTAGCCTAGTGGTTAAAGCGTTAGCTCGTCACACCGAAGACCTGGGTTCGGTTCCAGACATGGGAACAGTATGTGAAGCCCATTTCTGGTGTCCCCTTCCATAATATTGCTGGAATATTGCTAAAAGGGGCGTAAAACCATACTCACTCACTCACTCAGATTTGGCAGGTTCACTTGCTCCACCTGAAATACTACTTACTACTGCGTGGTAGACTCAGCATTGTCCTGGAAGACTGTCAGTGTGGTGTGTGTGTAACTCCTGCTGACTGGTCTGACCCCAGGCCGATACAGTGTAGCTGTAGGGAATGATGATCGGATCTGGTAAATGCCAAACTCCCATTCTTTGTGTCATTCCTCCTGCCAAAGCATCAAAGATGTTACTTTAAAGCTGCCTGAGAATCCCAGCCATTATTGTTTGTGAAACTTTCAAGCTGGAGATGGTTAGCTGTGTATAAACATTAGTGTGTCGAGTCCAGGTCGGGTGAGTTCACTTTGGTAATGTTGACCCTCAAACAAAAACATTATACTGTTCACAAGTTGAAAGTTATCAGTAGGCGTGTTTGTGTTGCTGACTGAGCCATGTTGATGCATTCCGATCAGTACAAAGTTGGGCATTGTCACGGGCTTTCAGAGTGGGATCACAGCAAATGGAAACACTGATAATAGAAAAAACCACAACATTTGTTTAGGTGCAAATGTTTTAGCTACATTAAAGAACAGATATTCCTGCATCTCCCCGCTAATTTTGTAGAAGGTTTTTGTAGTCTTGTCAGTAGTGAACGTGCATGGTGAATGCATGAAACTAAACTGCAGTTGAATTATATTTTTCAAGTTCAATATTCTTTAAAATTGAAAACATGTTTAATTTTGCATGTTTGAAAGTATTTAGTTCCGCACAGGAATGAATATTTGAATCTTGTTAAACAGAAGGGGAAAATGAACTCAAAAAGGCACAGAGTCTTCACTTTGATAAATTAAGGATTAAATAATCATCAATATTGATCCTGGAAAAATGTCCACTTCACTGATAAATTTTTTGTACACAATTGAACCTTGGCCTGTACATTTGGCCACTAGTCTGATGCCCGAGTCAAGAAAACAAATTCATGGTCTAGTGAGATCAGCTACGGATGATGCAGTTCATTTACAACAGTGTATATAATATACTGTAAATAATGCCAAGACATTTAGGCAGGTCGACTTGATGTGTTTGGCCCAGAATGCTAGTGTATGGTGATACAGTGTATATCTCCGTCCTCCCCTGAGACTACTGTATGGTACAATATATTACCTGACCCTGAGCGTTTGGGTCCATCACCTACACTGGATCATGTAACAGGCTGTCAGACCTTGTACAAACAAGCACGAGACATTAGTGCCCGGACTGGCAGAAGCAGTTTGTCTAGGTGCCCACTTCTGCCCGTTAGTCTTGAAACTGTTGCCAAACATCGCCCTTTACACCATTGCTCATTTCTCATTTGTCTCCCGCTTTTAGACCTTGTTCTTTTCACATGGCTGTTATGGGCCAAGACTGAAAAATCAGTTATGGCTGGACTTTAATTTGTGAGAGGGACCTGTCCTGCAAAATAAATACTAACATAATAAGTAAGGATAAGATTTATGGATGAACAACTTCTTTATTACAATCTGGAGCTATGTTTCGGTGTAGGTTCAAAACTTCTAAATGCCTCTCAAAGAAGAAATACTAACATGCTACCATTTCCAGATTTTTTTTGTGCCAGTTTCTGTTTCTTTGGCCAAAAAGATGTACCCCGGTATGACATGGTTATTTTTCCAAAATTAGGTTACCCAGTAGTGGTCTTATGTGGAAACAATATTTTGGATTATTGTTTCAACAGTAATTGTTACAGTAGAGTGTGTGAGTTTTAGCAATATTACAGCAACATCACAGCGGGGTACACCAGAAATGGGCTTCTCACATTGTACCCATGTGGGGAATTGAACCCGGGTCTTCGGCGTGACGAGCGAACACTTTAACCACTAGGCTACCCGACTGCCCCCTTTCTTTCTGAACATCTACAACAGCATGCTCTGGTGACGTCTTTAACCACTAGGCTGCCCCATCACCCAGTTATAGTAGAACGAATAGCAGCTTTATCTGAGTGATTGGCAGTGGGTGGCCTCATGGTTGAAGAATTCACCTGTCAAGCTGAAAACTTGAGTTTGATCCCTCATGGGTACAATGTGTGAAGCCTATTCTTGGTGTCCCCAGCCCCATTGATGGAATATTGCTCAAAGTTGTGTTTTCCCTGCTCTCTCAATTACTGGATGATAATGGTGTTGAGATCCCTGAGACTATTCATTACAAATCATTAACGCCTATCAAAGAAGTTAGACATTTGAGTATTTCACCGGCTTTTACTGAGGTGAGTGTAGACTAATCAGGCTGCCAAAAGATGTGCTGAAAAAAGAAAGGTACGGAAACCAATGCATCCCACCTCTCTTATCTAGACCCGTATCACACTACACACCAGGATGATGTTGCGCCCGAGTTCTAGAGGAAACTGGGCTCTGTCTCTGTTAACATGAGAAGACATTGGTGCCAACAACTACAGCAAGCTGGAGCCCCTGCTCTGTTCCAGTTCCAGTTCCCTACACCTGTTCCAGGTGTTGTAACATCGTGTAGGTTCCCTCTTGCTGAGAGACAAGGGCGCCAACAATTACCGCACTCCCAGTCGACCTGCCAGACTTGAAACAGATTCTTACGTGGAAAAACACAAATGTTTTTTCGTGTTGTGCTTTCCTAACAAATTGTGCAGTTTTTAGGATGAAAGCAAAGTAGGGTCTTGATTGTGTGAAATTGCTTTTGTCTGACAGCGGGGAGCAGGGTATCACTGTACGGCAACAGCGAAGCACAACCACGACTACAACTTAGCGAGGCCCCCCTCAGTTTCAAAGAGAATCACAGACAACAGACAATGTGGAACCCCAATTATGTTTTTTTTTTTATGATGGCCAGTCCCCATCACTGATCGCGTTAGGAGGCAGACGCAGTGTCACATTGTGAGTCACTTGTGTCACTGATTGGTGGAGGGAGGTTGCAGAGGCTGCTGTTGCAGGGGTTGTTTCCATCACCGGCCCAGCCATCTGATTTAGGGAGCATGGTGTTGCTCTGGCCGGGATAACCAATTTATGGAAAGGAGATGTTTCAGGACAAAGCAGTTTCAATTTTCGGTGAATTGATGTCTTGTTTTGGGGGGTGTTGGAGTCTGTGACTTCAGTCATCTGTCTGAAGCCTGATTCTGGTGTTGCTCTCGTAAGCTCAGATTATAATACTAACAATAAAATCTTCTGAAAATGATTATTTATTAGTCTCAATTGGGTTTGGTACAGGATATGGTCTTTTAGTATTTAACAAAGAAAGTCATGAAAGTTTAAGAAATTAGCTAACTATATCTACATATAGAAAGTCCTCAACTCACCTATATGTATATATACAAACAAACATTACCCCGTTACAGCCATTTGATAAATTGGGACTTTGTTAATCTGGGTGCAGGGTGCACTCTAGTAAATTTCTGACATGGGCTCTTTATGTGAAAATTTCAAATATTCCAGAGGTACGCCCATAGAGTACAATGTTAAAATGACCCATTGTATTTGAAAATGTGGGCCTTTTTTTCAAATGTAGGGGCTAAAAGCACAAGACCCCACCCTAGAATTATCCCAGTGGGTGATTTCACTTGAAATACAACAGTCATTATTTGTTGATGAAAGATATGAAATATGTTTGGTTTATTCTATGACTTTCTCGCTATCAAGAAAACCGTTTTCCATTTTTGGTTTGACCAAAGTCATTGTTGATTGCATGGGTCTTAGCATAACCTATTTTCTTAGAGTAGTTTTAGTCTTTTCTTTTTGTAATACACTGGGTCAAATTTGTCTAAAGTAATTTTCCAGAAAAACATAAGTTCATGAAATTATGAAATGAGATATTCTTGTAAGCTTATGTTAAAAAGATAAAAAGATAATAGGCAACTAATACAGTCTAGCTAGGACAGAATGCTTATCATGGTATGTTAATTAAAGATACTATACAAATGCATGTTCTATAAAAGTGCCATTGATAACCTTGTGCGATTCCTTTGTTCCAAGAATTATTCTGATCAACACACAACACAATCATGAAGTTCAACACTCGGCCAACTCATTATGTGACATCACTCCGGAATTCGGTCATTTGAGATTCCTTCCATTGAAGAACTTCTCAATTTGGGATTATTAGCCACTGACCCAGATCAGGCTTCAAATGATGGGGCTTGAAATTCAGGTCACAGATTGATTAAACATTATGAGAACTAGCCTTTGAGGACATGCTTGTCCCACAGGGACACAGTGATCGCTTTGGGGTCTTGAGGATGAGCTTACTGACCTGTCTGTACTTCTATTTCCTTACTTTTCACAATTCACTGACCATCGTTGCCCCTGATATTAGAAATCTGCATGGAAATTAGTTAAAATCCCTAGAGAGGAGTTTAGTTTGTGATGAGCATTGACCCGTTTGTTGGTGGAGATTACATGCCACAGAGGTAGAATGTGAAGTCAACACTAGGAAAATTGACATCTTATATAGGTGACGTTGGTTACAACAAATCCAGTTCTTATCCATATGCAGTTGTTATAATAATGATATCTTTTCTGCTTATCTATGTTTAGGCATACATAGCTCAAATTGGATTTTGTGAAATGGCAAAAGTCCTTGTTAATGTGTGGGGGCTAATGGCAGTATTAGTTCGATCATTACTTTGTAAGATGGAGCTACTCTGTGTTAAGATGTGTAAGTACGCCAGATGAGGCGCTAAGATCGCCTTGTGGTATGGTGCTTGTCTGTGATGGTATAGAAGTTAAGACAGTACTAAGATGACTAACATGTGGTATGGTACATGTCTGTGTTAAAATATGGAAATTACAACAGTTAACACTAAGATGACTAAGATCAGGTGTGGATCCCTGGGTGTGGAGCTCTGGGTGTGGAGCCGGGTGTGGAGCCCTCGGTGTGGAGCCCTGGGTGTGGAGCTCTTGGTGTGGAGCTCTGGGTGTGGAGCCCTGGGTGTAGAGCCCTGGGTGTGGAGCTCTGGGTTTGGAGCCCTGGGTTTGGAGCCCTGGGTTTGGAGCCCTGGGTGTGGAGCCCTGGGTGTAGAGCCCTGGATGTGGAGCCGGGTGTGGAGCTCTGGGTGTGGAGCCCTGGGTGTGGAGCCCTGGGTGTAGAGCCCTGGATGTGGAGTCCTGGGTGTGGAGCCCTGGGTGTGGAGTCCTGGGTGTGGATCCCTGGATGTGGAGCCGGGTGTGGAGCCCTGGGTGTGGAGCCCTGGGTGTAGAGCCCTGGGTGTGGAGCCGGGTGTGGAGCCCTGGGTGTGGAGTCCTGGGTGTGGAGCCCTGGGTGTGGATCCCTGGATGTGGAGCTGGGTGTGGAGCCCTGGGTGTGGAGCCCTGGGTGTGGAGTCCTGGGTGTGGAGCCCTGGGTGTGGAGCCGGGTGTGGAGCTCTGGGTGTGGAGCTCTAGGTGTCCAGCTGAGTTGACCACACAGTGAGTCAGTCTGTCAAGATGACTTCATTATGCCTCTAGATGAAGGAAGCGCACTACACGTGGC